AAAATGAGAATGAATTTTTAAAGAGTGGAATGCGAAATTCTGTTGCATAGTTAAATTAAATATGAGATTTCAAAACAATATCAATCAGACATAAGGTGATGACTCCAGATCCTTTGGAATATGTACTAACTGGCTTTGTCCAGTGGAAGGATACTTCAATGGGAAAATTTTAGAAGCACTATGATACACCCCAACACCCTCTGAGGAGATTGGAGACCAGTTCGTTTGAATAGCAACTACATTTCTATGCCTCTTATGAGAGTCTGGAGTGGACCTATGCAAAATATTTCAGAACCAAGGAAGTTACTGTCAGATTTTTTAAATATGACTTTCTGGAGGAAACGAGGAAATGACAGAGGTTGTTGAGAGATCTGGACTGCTTTAAGAGATGCCATAACTAAACTCTTAATAAATGATCTCTATAAAGAAGAATCTGTAAGTTTGGGCAGTTTGGAGACTAGAAAGATATAAAATATTTTTTAGCAACTTGCCCATTTTTCTTGGTAGTAGAGGGCAAGCCACTTCTTTAAAGAAGGAATACATGATAGAGTAAAACAGTATGTGATGTAGACTGTGTTTAAATTCTTAATTTTGGATTTCCAATAGGAAACTAAAGCTCTCCAGGTTTCAATGTTCTCATCTTTAATGAGGCAAGTACAAAGATTATAGTTAATAGATCAGTGTTTGCCTAGCCCCACCATTATTATTATTATTATTATTATTATTATTATTATTATTATTATTATTAGTGGTGGTGGTATCTTCTATACCTCTCCATTCCTTTTGTGCTTGGAAAGTCAACAAAGCATCTCTCAATGGGAAAGTGGTGCTTCAGATTAGGAGGTCAGACAGAATGACCTGGGTCTCTACTCATAAAGAGATTCCCTCTGAAGATCCATGAAAGCTTTTGGCTAAGGGAGCATTTAGAGAAATAATCAACAGCCTGATATGTAAATGTGTTTAGATCTCTCTGTTTGCTGTCACTTTCAAACTGCAAATACAAAAAAAAAAAAAAGGATGACCTAGAAACAAGCAGAGAAAAGCTGTGTGGCATTTAGATGCATATCACATATGCATAATTGATTCTTTAAAAGGTTAAATACCCTTAGCATATGTATGGATAGGGATAGGCCCATGATGAGTGCCTAATCATTATGGCAGTGGCTTTGTTTTACATAATTCTAAAGTAAATGTCATGTTTCTTCTTTGGGAATTCCAGGGCTGTGTTCAGGAAAGCATATGTTTCCAAGTAGATAGCTGGGCAGAGGAGCTACACTTTCCCAAACAGAAGGACGATTCATGTAGCTAGTACGCTAAGCTTTATAAAGCACAGGCTGCCACTCAATTCTCTTTGGAATTTAAATGCAATTACATATTGAGGACAAATGCTAAATATAAACAGAATAGACAAAGTGCATGCCTTTATTTATTTATTTATTGCTTTGTTTTTGTAGTATGTTTGCAAGAAGAATTAGCTACCTCACACACACTATAATCCTTAATTAAAACACACAGACCAGGAAACTTGATGAATCCTTTAGCATCTTTTTTTTCCCCAGAAGCTTGTTATAGCTTTAAAGGACTTGTTCTTTTCTCTTATGTCTGCAAACAATTATAAAAATGCTAAGGAAATTAATTCAAAAAGCATGTCACTAAGAAACATACAGAAAGAAATACTATGTTATATGCCTTAAATATCAGAAAAAAAGATAATACATTGCATGAGAATAAATAAGGGGTAAAAAAAATACCTATGTAAATGGGAGTAATTATCACAAATGCTTAAGTTTCTTCTTTGGAGAGGAAAGGATATACAAGTATACCTGGTACACACAAAGGTCTTCTCTGGATAAATGATCTACAGGTGTTTATTGTTTGAAAATGTACATTTTAAAATATAGCTCAAATTTTGAAAATGGGAAAGGCAAAATAACAAAAACATAGTAAAGAGAGAACAAAATTAAGATAGCTAAAGATAATGTACTGGGGCTATAATAAAAGTAATTTTATTAATCTTAGGTGGAAGGATATGCTTTCACATTTTACCTTAGAAAATTTAAATGGAGACCACACATAAGACACAACTGAAATATGGGTACCTAAGAGATCTGAAAATAGAAAGATGTGAAAAAAATGTATCAGACAAATAATAACAAAAGAAAGCTATTGTAGCTATATAAGTGATGAGAAAACTAGACTTGGGGTCAAGATGCAGTCTTTGTTCTCTCTTTTCATCCAACAACCCCACTACATCCAAGCAACTGTTCCTAACAGTCCAGGACTTTCGATAAGTCATCTCCACCTATTTTGTCTTATTCCAAGCTAACTATTGTCAATGTCTGTGAGATGTTTAATCTCTGAATTCTTATAGTAATTATTATCTGTGTTCCACTGAATTGGTACTTAGATGGTGTGTTTTATTGTTTTTCTGTATTCATGCATTTCTTTAATTAGATTATAGTATCCTACAGCTATACACCATGCTTTATTCTTTAAACATCCCCTGTCCTTCACCCTAGGACCTGCCATATGGTAGAACCATGTCTCCTGACATTATCATAGAAAGTTAGTAAACATGTTGATGATCTATTGAAAATGGCTTGTGAAAGCATATTAAGAATTCCTTCAGGATGTGTGAGGACTTTGACAATGCTATGCATTCACATTTTCTAAGTAACCTCTCCACCACATTTTTAAATAAGGGAAGAAGAGACACACACTATGGTTAGAGTGATTTGAAGCTGTTTGTAGTTGGTGAGACTGAGAGAGACCACAGCCCCAGTAGGAGAGTGCCCCCCACAGGACCAAGCTGGAAATTCCCACAGGGTCATAACTGTGATCTTTAAGGTAAGGGATCACATCAACATTTTTGCATTCACACCTGGGACAAAGTCCAACATTTAATATATAGTCAATAAATGATCCTGCAAAACGTGAGAGAATTATTTATCTGGGATAATTTAATTCACTCCCATAACTTCAAAACAGCATACAATTTAGTTTACAAATATGCATCTTGAGCTCTGGATCTCAGAGGGAGAAAGTGGCTAAAATGGTGGAAAAGCCAGTGGGGCCAAGGTGGGATACAGGTGGTATCACCACAATTGGAACTCTGAGGTTAGGGGTTGGTTGGAACAAATCTGAGTACTGGACTATGTTTGGAAATGAACAACAGAAGTTTTAAAGGAAATGAGGAAACCCATGGATAGAGATGTTCAGTGCTTGTCTTGCTGGCCATCGAGAAGTGGCTGGAGCTCCTTCTTCCTCATGGCATGTGCCAAAAGTTGTCTGCTCTGTAAACCTCTTTGAAACATATTAGTTTTTGAATAGGCAATATATAAAGCATCTGGCATAAAATTCAAAGAGTACACAGTAGGATATGTCATAAAAATGTGGCTTCATCCCACCTCTTCCCATAGTTGCTCATTGTATAGAGACAACCACACTTACCAGTTATTACATTCATGTTTAGGTAGATGTCTTTGATATATATGTACACATTTATGTATTTGTATTTTTTCAGATAGTTCATATAACATACTAATTAAATCTTACCTTTTTTTCATTTAACAACTTATCCCATAGTCCTTTGTACTTTTAATTTTATTATCAATGAAATCTCAGCCTGTAACACTATTGGTATATTGACAGTGTTCAACATTTGTTCCTTGTGGAAATGAATGAAAGGTTTGATAATAGTATCTAATTCACCCTAAAACTAATTCATTCTAAAACTAAAACCACTAACAGGTTTTAGAAATACGTCATTTTAAAGTCCACCTCCAACATGCAGTGCTTTTTCTGGATAAATATCATATCCACCCTTCAAAGTAAATCACCCAAAATTCATCCTGCAAGAACCTTTCTTTTAATATTGACTTTCAGTTTCTCCTTTAGGGGTTGTCTTTAAACACTTAATAATAGTCTACTAGTTTTGATTGACCCCTAAATTCTTATTTGTTAATATAATAATAATAATAATAATAATAATAATAATAATAAAAATGTGAATAGTACTCTTAACAATAATCCTTATTGTGTCTTTGTGTCACATACTTTGTTAGGCACTTTAAATGAGTAATCTCATTCATCCCTACAGTAGATCTGAGGATGTACCTCAGTGGTAGACCACATGCTTAGCATGTGCAAGGCCCTGGGTTTGCTCCCCTGCAACCCCCCTCCGCTCCCCTCCACACAATCCCTACAACACATACATAAAGTAATTTCATAATCCTTATAATATACCTATCACGGCCTTGCAAGAATCATCTTGACTTATCTTGGGGTCATGTGTAGATCATTTCCTTAAATATCAATGACTTTTGGCCTCTGGCTACTCAAGATATCTCTAGAGTATGAGTGGGTCAGAATTACCAACACAATGACCACCTCCCAGGAGAATGTTGGTGTATCAATATTCTACTCTCTGGGAAAATCTTGAGTTCTGTTTTTTCACAGTCACTTCTAGGATCCTGAATGGTTGAGCCACAGTTACCCATGGCACTAAGCCCCCTTTCAACTCATCCTCTATTACCTTTCCTCCCTTCCCTATCTCATTTCCCTCCTGGACTCCTTCCTTGATCGCCTCCTAAATAAACTACTTGTACTTAAATCCTAGTTTTGGGATCTGCTTTTGGGAAAATAAGATATCAGGAAGCAGGTTTAGAGTGTTTTGAGTATCTGGCTCAAGTTCACCTGTACATCACATGGCAGTTAGGATATGAACCAGAAGCCATCCTCAAAAGCACCATCCCTTACTGCCAGCTAGATGTAAGCACCTCATACAGGCCTGTGAACTGTAAGCCAAAGTCAGAGTTTAGTCCTCTTGTCTGCTGCTGGGTGCCATTCTCTGTTCTGGAGTGTCTCTTTATCACCACAGCACGTTAGGACTGCATTTTATGCACCATTAGTTAAACACATGCGCTTGGAATTTGTTGCTGGAATTGTCATTTAAAGAAGACTCTTAAGTTGCTGAATATCTTCTCCTTACTTTTCTGCAGATAGCAACTTTATCCTCGCCAACGCCCAGGTGGCTAAAGGTTTCCCCATAGTCTACTGTTCCGATGGCTTCTGTGAGCTTGCTGGATTTGCCCGAACTGAAGTCATGCAGAAGAGTTGTAGCTGCAAGTTCTTATTTGGTGCTGAAACCAATGAGCAGCTGATGCTTCAAATAGAAAAATCACTGGAGGATAAAACAGAATTCAAAGGAGAAATTATGTTCTACAAGAAGAACGGTGAGCTGGCTTTCTTTCGTGCTCAGGGAGAGTGTTAGAGGTCGCCCTTTTCCAACGCAGTGATTGTTCCATAAATCCCATTAAGGCTTAATGATATTTCACATAAATATGGTCTGCTAGAGAAGTTCCACAAATGACTTGGATGATGGCCTTGTTTTAGCCATTAGCCGCATAAACTGACTGGAAATTATAACTGTTCAATGTCAATATATACTAACTGAGTTAATATATGTTGAAACAAAGTGTATTGCTATTATAGTCATTTTTAAAATATATATTATATGTAGCAGTTATTAATATACTTAACAGGTGATCTTTTATTCAGGGATGGGTTTTCAAGGTTTATGCTTTTAGGGACCACATCTCGATCCCAGTCATAAAAGATGGAGTTCCAAGGGTTCACTGGCAGAAAAGGAAGTTAATTTAAAGGATATCAGCATTTGCAGTTTCTCTTCTCTGGTGTAGAGCTTTTCTCACTATTCTCTGAAATTTTAAGGACAAAACAAGAGACACTTGGTATTTCACGTTGGAATAAGTTTGCCTGGACTCAAAACAACAGTTCTCAAAAATACAAAGTATTTTCTTATGGCTGAAGTTTTATGATTCTTCTGTAATGAAAGACCTAGAGATGGGTATAGTGTCTGTAGTACTTAGGTCCTGTGCAATAACAAGTAGCACTACCACATGGGCCTGGAGAGTTGGAGGAAATCCAAGAGGCAATGTATGGGGAAAATGCTAAATAAAAAATTTAGACCAAGCTATCATTTCCGAGAGTCTATAATTATCCCTCTTCCTTTAAAAGCTTTCTGTTTTAGTCTGCTTTGCATTGCTGGGACCTGTATCCCTGACAAGAACAATTTAGAGGAAGAGAAGTTTATTTTGACTCACAGTTTCAGGGGTACAGTCCACGGTCACCCGACTTTATAGCTCTGATCCTGAGATGAGGCAGAATATCATGGCGGAAGAACATGACAGAGAAAAGCAGCTCAGAATATGGCAGCAAGGAAACAGAGAGAGCTCCACTTACCAAGGACAAAATATAACCCCCAAAGGCATGCCCCCAGTGACCTACTTCCTTCACCCAAACCTACCTGCCTATAGTTTGCACCCCAATCCATTCAAGTGCGTTAATCTACAGATTGGAGTATGTCTCATAATCTCATCACTTTGCCTCTGAACATTCATGGATTGTCTCCCTCATAAGCTTTTGGGGGACACCTCATATCCATAACCCTTTCCTTGCACAGATACCAAGCTAAAAATATATTCCCAGACTTCTTTGTAGTTCGGTTGTGTATTGCAGCTAAGTTTGGGGACAAGGATAGGTGGAAAGGAATCATCTATAAAAATTCAAGGTAATATCCCTGAAAGTGAAATTGTTTTCCTTCTAATTATTCTCTTTCTCCTTTCACATGGTATTACAGATAAAATGTGGTCTTGTCAGATATTTTTATATTGAGGCCATAACCCCCCATACGATTATATTTGAAGACATGGCTCTTAAAGATATAATTAAGGTTTAATGAGGTCATGAGAGTGGGGCTTTAATCCATTGTGACTTATGTCCTTATGAGAAGTGGAAGAGCCACCAGAGGTGTGCACACACAGGGAAAAGGCCATGTGAGAATACAGGAAGTCAGCTCTCTGTAAGCCAAGGAGAGAGGCCTCAGGAGAAATCAAATCCACCAGCCACCTCAATCTTAGGTTTCAGCTGTGAGAACATAAAATTCTCTTGTTTCAACCACTGCATTTTGTGATGGCAGCCTGAGTAAATGAATACATGTCGATCAGAATGTTAAGCAAAGCTGAAAAGCCAGCTTTCAACCACTTGACAAGGGCAATAGAGTAGTGGGATGTGACAGAGCTACCTTTCCACCTCAGACAAAACCAAACATATTTCTATCTTGTTTGAGTTACTCTTTTGGGGGTCTTTATGTAACAACTTTTAAATTGTACTCTATCTCAGAATCTCTCATCCTTATCACTGTTAACATTTTGTAGTGATTCTTTCTTGTGGGGTATTGTACACTGAAGATGATCAACTACACCCTTGGCCTCTGGATCTCATACCCAATAAGCTGGGGGATATTAAAGTCAATGCCAAGTAGAAAAAAAGAAACCTGCATCTTCATCCCTTTTTATAGTTTATTTGTCCTTGGAGGACATTCCCTAATTGTGTGGATTTGGGATATGCAGGAGTCTTGAAGTAGTGCAGAGCACCCCTCTGGAACAAGGTTATACCCCAGTTCTTTGGCACAAGGCACATGATTCAGACCATTGTATTCTTCTCAATGTCAGTAGATGAGGCCAGCATAGCAAATATAATAAAATAAAAGGATTCTAGCTCTACTAATTATACCATAACCATTAAAAAGAAGGCCTGAGGTGTTAAAAAAGAAGAAAAAAGGGGCTGGGGATGTGGCTCAAGCGGTAGCACGCTCGCCTGGCATGCGTGCGGCCCGGGTTCGATCCTCAGCACCACATACAAACAAAGATGTTGTGTCCACTGAAAACTAAAAAAATAAAATAAATATTTAAAAAAAAAAAAAAAAAAAGAAGAAAAAAAAAGGAGGTTGTTTCTGGGAGTGTGGACTGGCAGGGAGCAATAAAACCTCCATCTGGTGGAACAAAGGAGAAGAATATCCTTTGTCTGCAATATCCACTGACTCAGACTCATCCTTCTTAAGATAGGTGACTTGTGTAGGTCACTCCACACCCATTTGATTGTCTTCCTTCTTAAGCCTTTTTGAAATACCCAAATGTGCCACCACTGAGAAAGGGTCAGGCCAAAAAGGAGACTCAGAGATGAAGAACAAATGATGGAGCCTTTGGACGCTCAACCATGGAAAGACTTTCCACAGCCTAATTTCTTATAAGATGGCTTGCAGTCCTGGAAGAATGTGGGTGGAAATTTTTTTTTCTGTAACTTTTATTTATTTATTTATTTTTTATTGGTTGTTCAAAACATTACATAGCTCATGACATATCATATTTCATACTTCATATTCAAGTGGGTTATGAACTCCCATTTTTATCCCAAATACAGATTGCAGAACACATCGGTTACACATCCACTTTTTTACATAATGCCATATTAGTAACTGTTGTATTCTGCTACCTTTCCTAACTTTTATTTTTTTTAATTTTTTTATTGATTGTTCAAAACATTACAAAGCTCTTGACATATCATATTTCATACATTAGATTCAGGTGGGTTATGAACTCCCATTTTTATCCCAAATACAGATTGCAGAACACATCGGTTACACATCCACATTTTTACGTAATGCCATACTAGTAACTGTTGTATTCTACTACCTTTCCTATCCTCTACTATCCCCCCTCCCCTCCCATCTTCTCTCTCTACCCCATCTACTGTAATTCATTTCTCTCTTGTTTTTTTCCCCATTCCCCTCACAACCTCTTATATGTAATTTTGTATAACAATGGGGGTCTCCTTCCATTTCCATGCAATTTCCCTTTTCTCTACCTTTCCCTCCCACCTCATGTCTCTGTTTAATGTTAATCTTTTCCTCCTGCTCTTCCTCCCTGCTCTGTTCTTAGTTGCTCTCATTATATCAAAGAAGACATTTGGCATTTGTTTTTTAGGGATTGGCTAGCTTCACTTAGCATAATCTGCTCTAGTGCCATCCATTTCCCTGCAAATTTCATGATTTTGTCATTTTTTAGTGCTGCTTAATACTCCATTGTGTATAAATGACACATTTTTTTAATCCATTCATCTATTGAAGGGCATCTGGGTTGGTTCCACAGTCTAGCTATTGTGAATTGTGCTGCTATGAACATCGATGTGGCAGTATCCCTGTAGTATGCTCTTTTAAGGTCTTCAGGGAATAGTCCGAGAAGGGGAATAGCTGGGTCAAATGGTGGTTCCATTCCCAGCTTTCCCAGGAATCTCCATACTGCTTTCCAAATTGGCTGCACCAATTTGCAGTCCCACCAGCAATGTACAAGTGTACCCTTTTCCCCACATCCTCGCCAGCACTTGTTGTTGTTTGACTTCATAATGGCTGCCAATCTTACTGGAGTGAGATGGTATCTTAGGGTGGTTTTGATTTGCATTTCTCTGACTGCTAGAGATGGTGAGCATTTTTTCATGTACTTGTTGATTGATTGTATGTCGTCCTCTGAGAAGTGTCTGTTCAGGTCTTTGGCCCATTTGTTGATTGGGTTATTTGTTATCTTATTGTTTAATTTTTTGAGTTCTTTGTATACTCTGGATATTAGGGCTCTATCTGAAGTGTGAGGAGTAAAAATTTGTTCCCATGATGTAGGCTCCCTATTTACCTCTCTTACTGTTTCTCTTGCTGAGAAAAAACTTTTTAGTTTAAGTAAGTCCCATTTGTTGATTCTTGTTATTAACTCTTGTGCTATGGGTGTCCTATTAAGGAATTTGGAGCCCAACCCCACAATATGTAGATCGGAGCCAACTTTTTCTTCTGTCAGATGCGGAGTCTCTGATTTGATATCAAGCTCCTTGATCCATTTTGAGTTAACTTTTGTGCATGGCGAGAGGAGGGGATTCAGTTTCATTTTGTTGCATATGGATTTCCAGTTTTCCTAGCACCATTTGTTGAAGATGCTATCCTTCCTCTATTGCATGCTTTTAGCCCCTTTATCAAATATAAGATAGTTGTAACTTTGTGGATTAGTCTCTGTGTCCTCTATTCTGTACCATTGGTCCACCCGCCTGTTTTGGTACCAGTACCATGCTGTTTTTGTTACTATTGCTCTGTAATATAGTTTGAAATCTGGTATTGCTATACCACCTGATTCACACTTCCTGCTTAGAGTTGCTTTTGCTATTCTGGGTCTTTTATTTTTCCATATGAATTTTATGATTGCTTTCTCTATTTCTACAAGAAATGCCATTGGGATTTTGATTGGCATTGCATTAAACCTATAGAGAACTTTTGGTAATATCACCATTTTGATGATGTTAGTTCTGCCTATCCATGAACAGGGTATATTTTTCCATC